GTCCCGCCCGTTCGCCCGGCCCGATTTACGTGGGGCGCGCGGCCCGCCAGGAGGCTCTCGGAGGAGGGGCAGCGTCGAGGAGCTTCAGGGCGCGTGTTGGCCCAGTGTGTGCTCACGCCAGGGTCGCCACGAGGGCGCGAAGTCTGGGCGACTGCGGAGCGAGGCGCGAGTCCCTCATCCTGTTCCCGGGAGGGGGGGGATGGGGCTCCTCCTCCTCCTCCTCCTCCTCCTCCTCCTTCTCCTCCTCCTCGGGGCGGCGCGAAAGCGCGAAAATCATCGCGCTTCGCAGAGCGCGAAGTGCGAAGGTAGCTGTTGGCCCAGATGATCCTCAGGACGCGTGTTAGCCCAATGTGAGCGACGCCACAAGACGGGGCCGATTGCGACGACACTGGCGCGAAAGATGCCCGCGTACAGTCGCGCGCAATCGCCCTCGTTTCCAGTGTGGCGTGCCGCGCTGGCGGCCCGCGTAAGCCGCGGCGTAAGGCCGCTATGTCACCTCGCGTCAGACCTGTTTATGATCCTCGCTCGTATGTGTTCACCCCGTTCGGCCTGCGTCGGCCAACGTTACACCATCTGCGTCATGCTTAAGGGCTTCTGTGGGCCATCACACGTTGGCGGCAACGCACTTTCTGAGGATCGTCGACAGTGATTTGAACGATGATTGGGGTTGCTAAGTGGATAGGGCGGCTACAGATAGATCTGGAGGTTCCAACCCGTATCTAGGTTAGCACATCTACAAGAAAGTTGGTGAACAAAGGATCGTCTACCAAGGAGAATCATCCAGCTTACATCTTGATATATCTGTTGCGTCCATTTAGGGAGATCGACGAGGCCAATTTTGACAATTGTCGGCCTCCGGGGGCTCTCAACGGGCCCCGGCACCGTCAAACAAATATTCTGGATGAAAAACTTGCCCTGGGCAAGTTGATGTGAGGTCCACGCATCGAAAAAATCGGAGCGCCGGCTGTCTGGGATTCTTCGTGCGCCCTCGTCGTCACAGCTGGACGCAGCTCGAGACATTGGTGCGTTTGGATTCCTACAGGCTTCGGAAAAAGATAACGAACACTCATGCCACATTTGTCTGTGAACGCCTCCCCCTCCCTCCAATGTTCAAATTTGGCGGTGTGTCTGATGAGTTGCACCTCGACCGCAGTCTCCCCTGCGCGTGCCAACTTTGAGTCTGGGGGGCCGGGAGAGTGTTCACGAATTGTTCCCCTCGACCGTATTTTGACCAGACTTTCGCCCCTCCATTGGATTTCCGACGATCTGCTCGTTGTCAGTCCTGGCGATTCGTCCTCGCGTCCGGCCTCTGGGGCCCGTCCTCGAGCTCCATGGCCACCGACAACGGAATCTGGAGCGAAGACCTACCCCGTGGGGAGGGTTTCGGGGGCTCTGGGGCCATGGGTGAAAAGTCTTGTGATCGGGAGCACTCGCTGGGCTCCAGGGCCGTCAAAAAAACGACTCAGGACGAAGAGCTGGGGAGGGGGAATGGGTCGAGACCTCTGGGGGCCCACGTCGTGACAAAAGTCATGACGTCGGGGTCCGAGGAGGAGGGCTGGTTGGGAATACGTCATTCGGGGACGCCTGCTCCAGGGCGGCCGGAAGGTTTACATCCCGACATGCCACCGTAGGGGTGTAAACTGTCCATCCGCCGGGGGCAGGCGCCCCGGGCGGCAGAAAAGTGTATTATGTACCGTTTGTCGTCCGCTGCACAGCAGGCCCCGGAGGCCGAAATCTAGGCAAGAATGCGGGAGTGACAAAAACATGTCCTCGGGGATCCGGCCGTCCGACGCTGCCCCTGGGCGCCTGTCCTAGCCGTCCTATCCTGCACCCCCTCCTCCTCCTCCTCCTCCCCCTCCTCCTCCTCCTCCTCCTCCCCCTCCTCCTCCTCCTCCTCCTCCTCCTCCTCCTCCTCCTCCTCCTCCTCCTTCGGTACGCTGGCCTCCTCCTCCTCCTCCTCCTCCTCCTCCTCCTCCTCCTCCTCCTCCCTTCCTCCTCTTCCTCCTCCTCCTCCTCCTCCTCCTCCTCCTTCCTCCTCCTCCTCCTCCTCCTCCTCCTCCTCCTCCTCCTCCTCCTCCTCCTCCTCCTCCCCCTCGCTCTGGTCCTGGCCCTCCTGCTGCTGCTTGGCCCCCCCCCCCCGAGGCTCTCCGAGAGCCAGTGGCTGGCCCTGGAGCTCGCGCGGCCCGGCGCGGGCGCCTCGCGGCGGGCGGGCGCGCAGCTGCGCCTGGCGGAGGCGCTGTGCCGGGCCGAGGGCGGGCCGTCGCCACGGCGAAGGCATAACCGGGGTCCCGAGGGAGGGGGGCCCACCCTTCCCCGACCCCCTCGCGTCGTGAAAAAATCACGACGGGAGGTGTTTCGCTACTTTCGGCCTCTGGGGGCCCTTACCGGGCCTCGGGACCGTCGAAAAACGACTCAGGATGAAAAACCGGTCCCGGGGAAGGGGTCGGGACCTCTGGGGGTCGCGTCATGAAAAAATCATGACGTCGGGGGTCTGGGTTAGTGGGCCCTGGGAACGACAGGGCCGTTTTTTTTACCGGTTCCGTTTTGCCGTTTTCTTGCCGGTTCCGGCGCCGTTGTTGTTACCGGTTCCGTCGCCGTTGTTTGACCGGTTCAGGCTCCGGTTCCAATCCTGGAGCCGTTTTTGTTGCCGTGTCCGGTCGCCGTTTTTTGCCGATTCCATGTTCTAGGGGCATTTTTCGGGAAACGGTGAAAAAACAGCCTTGCCGTTTCCGGGGCCCACAAAGGGCCCCCCCTCGAGGTCCGAGGCTCTTCAAAGACATATGGGTCGGAGGCTGATGGACGTCCTACCCCCCTGACACGGCGATTGAAGCATTGGCCGATTTCGGGAGGGCGTCGCGGCCGTCGCTTTTGCGGGTCCGGGTCCGTCGCTTTCGGTGCCAGGCCGTTTTCACTAAGGGGAGGTTTACTAAAGGGAGGTTTGTCCACCGCCGAATTGGAGCGGCCAGTCTTGGGCGATGCTGGGCCTCTGGGGGCCTTCCACGGGCCCCAGGGTCGTCAAACGACTCGGGACAGAGAACTGGCCCTGGATCCGCCGCGGGGCATCTACGATACATTACATCGAAGCAGGCATATGTTTTTTTTTCTGACGTTTGCGAGTAGGCACTTTGCGAGTAGTGGAACGCGCTCGGTGATTTTGGGCCAACCCGAAGGAGGAGGGGAGGGGGGAGGCGGCGGGAGGCGCAGATGCCTCCAGGACCTCCTGGGGCCCACGCTTAGAAAAAAAAATGGGGGCGCTGGGTGCCTGGGCCTGGGATCCTGGCGTCGCATTTTTTCTCGCACGGGGCGATCTCGCCCTGTTTGGGGCCCGGGGATCCGGCTCGGGAATGTTGATTTCTGTTTGCGACGTCTTGGGGCTCAGGGTCCGGAGTTTCGGCCCCCCTCCCCGGATCCTGGGGGGCCCCTCCCCTGGGCTCCCCGGGGGCCGTCAAGCGCTGGCTCGGGAGGAGCAGCCGGTCCTGAGGGAAAGGCCCTGGGGGGTCCCCGGCCGGTTTCCCCCAGAGCCCCTCTGACACTGGCCGAGTCGGGCATGGCCTATCCACTACCGCCCGCCTGCCCGCGGGGGCAGCTTCTCGCCCCAGGGCCGTCTCTGATGGTGTTGTCCCGTGGCCCGAGGGGCCCCCGAGGGCCGCGGGCTGTGCGCAGGGCGCCCAGACTGAAGAGAGGCCGCCTCGGAGACCCCTGGGCTCCCTTCCCGGTCCGAGTCCGCCGCACCGTCGGGAGCGCGCGGGCGCGCGCGCGCGCTGGCACTCGCAGGACCTCTGGCGCTGCCCGCGTCGTCGTCCGCGCTCGGCGCTCCGCGCGCCCCGCCGCCGCCCGCGGGGGCCGGGGCCGGGAGGGTGGCCGCGCGGCTCTGGGAGGACGCGGGTGGTCAAGCAGTGGCGAAGCGTCTTTGGCTCGCCGATGGCCCTGCCAAAGAGTGTTCTGAGAGCCTTGTTGTGGCTTCCGCGAAATGTTCTTGGAACATGTCTGGCGGAGTCTGTCTCGGTTTCACACATCGGGTCCATGTTCTAAGAGCATGGTTTTTGTTCGTAGAACATTTTGGGGTTCTAGGAACAGTTCGTGGTAGGACTATAGGAATGCCGAGACGGTCGGTCCCTGCTCAACATGGGGCCGCCCAGACGCGGAGAGCAAGAGAGCACGAGCCTCGTTTCTCGGAGGTCCGCGCGGATTTCTCGGATGGGCGCTGGGCCCCCCTGGCGGCGCCTCGGCGCCGCCCCTGGCGCGCTCCGCTCGTCAGGCAGGGAGATCCAGAGCCGATCCAAGAAATCCGCGCGGCGCTCCGAACATCTATACCTGTACCGTAATATTTTTCTCACCAATAAAAACCCTAGCATCCTCACGTCGTGAAAGGTTGCCGCGGCTGGTTTTTGGGCAGTGTTCGGTCTCCCTCTGGTCCCTGGCCGGCCCCCAGGACTGTCAAAAAACGGCTCAGGGACGAAAGCCCGGTTCCCAGGAAGAGGTTCAGACCTCTCGGGAGCCACCGCGTGAACAAAAGCACGACGTCGGATGTCTGGGACGGGGTCGAGGCAGATGGGGCTGGTGGGTCGCGCCGCTCCGCCGATGCATCTTCGATGCGGCGCGACCTCGAGCCCGATGTTCGGCAAGCAGACGTTGCCAGTGCATGGTCGATGCGGTGCAAACCTCCAACCCTGCCCACTCGGGCTCCAATGTGGGCGGTCTCCAGAGGAGGGCAGCCTGTCTGCGCAGGAGCGAGGGAGCCTCGAGGAAGGAGAAGCAGCACAAGCATCATCTGTCGTGGGTCTGCGCAGATTTCATGGGTCGGCGCTGGACCCCCCTGGCGGCGGAAGTGCCGCCACTGGCGCGCTTCGCGCGCCAGAAGGGAGACCTCCAGCGCCTACCCATGAAGAGCTGCGGGAATCCTGCGAAAGTGCATGTTGATGTTGTCTCCCCTCCTTCGAAAGCCACCCCCCAGACGGGGATGACTTTGCGCTGCTGCTGAAGCTGCTGGGCCGCCGCAGGAGGTTCACGGTGCTCTGGCAGGCGTGGCAGTGGCTGGAGGGCCTCCTGCCCGCGAGCTCGCTGCCCCACGCCGCCCTCGTGAGTGCCCTGTCCCTGGGCAGGCGGTGGCAGCAGGCGCTGGAGGTCGCCGGCCACCTGGGGGCACTGGGCGCGGGGGGCCCCGAGGTGGCACGAGCGGCCGTCGCCGCCTGCGCGCGGGGCTCCAGGTGGCAGCTCGCCCTCCAGCTGCTGGGGGAGGCGCGGGCCACGGGCGGCTCGGACGCGCACGCGGGCGCCGCGCGGGCCGCCGTCAGCGCGTGCGAGCGCGGCTCGCGCTGGGAGGAGGCCCTAGCGGTCTTCTCCCAGATCCCCGCTCCACTCCGCTCGCTGGCTGGCACCGGGGCGGCGCTGAGCGCCTGCCGACGGGGGGCACAGTGGCAGCTCGCGCTCCGGCTCCTGGCCAGCGCGAGCGCCGAGGGCTCGCCCCCAGACCTGGCCGCCTACACCGCGGCGGCTGCCGCGTGCACGGCGGCCTCGATGTGGGCGACCTCGCTGTCGCTGCTGGCAGCCTGCCGGGCCCGCGCCCTGCGGCCAGATTGCGCCGCCCTCGGCGCCGGGGTCCAAGCCTGCGCCTCTGGGGCACAGTGGGAGCTGGGGCTCGCGCTCTTCGAGTGGGCCGTGGCCCTGTCGCCGCGCCGCCGCGCTGGCATCGTCACGCTCAACGCCGCGCTCAACGCCCTGGTGGCGGGCGGGCGCGAAGACGAAGCCATGCGCCTGTGGCGCCGCGGCCTCGCGGAGGGCGTCTACGGTCTCGCGGCGCCCCAGGGCCAAGGCGGCACCCTAGACCTCCACGGCCTCTCTTCGGGGAACCAAAAGTCACACAAGCATGAACTTGTGGAGGTCCGCACGGATTTCCGGAGACACCCCCCCCCTGGCGCGCGGAGCGCGCCCAGGGCGGCGCCGGAGGCGCCGTCAGGGGAGCCCAGCGCCGATCCGAGAAATCCGCGCAGAGCTCCGAAAGCTCATGTTTGTGCCGTCTTTTCTTCCCCGCTCTCCGCTGGGGCCGCCTTCACGGCCGTGCGCTGGTGGCTCCGCCGCGCGGCGCCCTCGGCGGCCACCGCCCTCGGCGGTCCGCTGCAGGCCGTCATCGTGACCGGGCGGGGCAAGACCCGGCCCTCGGCGGCGCAGGGCGACGTCCGGCGCAGCGCGCTGGCGGCGCTGCGGGAGGCGGGGGTGCGGGCCGTGGAGAGCGCCGACGGGGGCTCCCTGCGTGTCTGCTTCGAGTCGAAGGGGAAAAAGCTGTGTAAACATGAGCTGTCGAAGCTGCGCGAAGGTGTCTCGCATCGACGCCGGAGCCCCCTGGCGGCGCATGTAGCATGTTTGTTGGGCGGATCTCTCGAGCTCTCCGTCGCCTCAAGCGGTGTGCGTTCAGAGCAGGAACGTAGCAAAGCCACAGGAGAGCGTGGCATTGACAGTGTAGCTCCTCACACATGCCAAATGCTCTAGCGAGCACGAATACATTAAAGCCCCAGGACGGGTGCTCCCTGCGCGTTTGCTTTGAGGTTTGGGGGGAAAGGTGGCGGCGCGCGCACGATCAGGGGAGATCGAACTGAGGCGACGGCAGTTGGGCTTCGGGGGTCCCTCGTCGCCACGGCTAGACGCAGCTCGGAGAACTGGCGCGTTTGGACCCCAAAGGAGGGGTCCAGGGACAGGTGTTGAGCAGCCGTCGTCTCAACTCGCCCTTCGCCGACACGAGGGGGCGGGGGCCCTCTCTTCCACAGCAGCCTCCGGGGACCGCTGGAGAGCCCGGCAGGCTGACCTACGAGTGAGGTCAACCGGGCCCCCAGGGAACCGCACAGACCGGCGCGGACCGGGCCTCCGAAGACCGTGAGGCAGCCCCTCCTAACAGGAGGGCCCGCAGGCTTCGAGAGGGCCTCCGAGAGGCCGAGGTGGCTTCCAGGAAGCCCCCGCGGCCTGCTGAGAGGCCCTCTGGGCTGCCCGGGTGGGGCCGCTCACCTCGCGTCCCCCCCCTCCTCTCCGCGCGCCGCCAGAAAGCTGAAACGCCGACCCGCCAACGTCGGAGTAGTCCTCGAGCAGGAGATCGACTGCAGAATTGGCGTACCCCAACATAGACCTGTTCGTCAAGCCTACGAGAAATACGTCGGATGCTCCCAGGCCTGCCATCTGTCTCGTAGATCCGGCGAACACGTCAAGTCTGGGGCAGGTGCACTCTGCGGTCGATCGCCTACGGCTGGTTCGTGTCGTGTCGACCGGCGGCGACCCCGCCGCCGGCATTCAACGTGAAACGCTGGCGTCGGCCGAGAGTCGGTCGACGTTGAACGACCCAACGTTGCGGAAGCGGCCGATCGTTCAAGTTCGAACGATCCCCGCGGTGTCGGGAACCAACGCCTGGGTCGACACGACACGAGCCTGCCGTATACTCGAAGCCCCAACCCCGACAGGGACGGGGCACGGTCGGGCGCTTTGGCTGCGCGCGTCGCCCCGCCAGCTTGGGCCCGCCGCGCTTCGGCGTCGCCCCGCCAGCCCACGACCCCGCTCGCAGGCGTCACCGTCCCGATCAGGAGGGAAAGAAACACACAGACACAATTAATCGTCGATTCCCGAGAAAATATAGGAAAATATGGGAAGTGGGGGGGAAGACAGAAACCCAGAAAATATGGGAAAATATGGGGAATCATTATATTTGTGTGTATTTATTTGTGTGTCCTGGGGCCCCTTCACCCGAGCCGATCCCGGCCTCCCGTTCCCGCGGACCGGAGCGAGGCGCGGCCCCAGCCTGCAGGGCCGGCCTCGTCGCCGGGGCCGCCGTCGCGGCACGCCGTTCAAAGGGGTTGTCCTGGCCTCGGGTTGGCTTTGCCAGCACACAGTCAGGACTCGCAGGCCTAGAGGTTGACACCAACACCAATATCGGCGGTTTGCTTCCACCGCGGGAAGAAGATCCCGATCTCGGTGATGGTGGTAGCATTCTGGCTTCCAGGGTGACCGAAATATTACCACCAACACTCAAATCTAGGATCATCTCCCCCCCGTGGAGGCAACACCCTGTGTTGGTGTTGGTGCCCATTTCCAGCCCTCCAAAAGACGCTGAAATGAGGAACAGTTTGGGTTCGGAAGGGGCTCGATGTTCCTTGGGTTCCTCCAGTGCTGTTTTTTCTTGCCCTCCTGGGGCACGGAGGCGCTTACAGGGCCAAGAAGGGGCCTCGTTCCTCATTCAGCGATCCTTCTTTCAGCGGCCCGACTGTAGCCCTCTTGGTGGGGATGGGTGCTGTGAGCCCGGAGGAAACGACACCCACCCCTACCTACAGTCTGTTGAACATCGTCGCTGGTGGAAACGTGAAGCGCAGGTGTGTGTGTGTGTACCGGGGTATGTCAGGGACGAGTTTCGCGCTTTGATGCTCGCTGTGTCCGCAGCCTTTTTCAAAACGAAGCCTGAGCACAATGCTAGCACCCCCAGCCGCCGCGGCGTCCCAACCCCTCCCCCCAGTTCTATTGATATCATTGGGAGCTTTAGCAGGTGTCGCTCCAGCACCTGATGTCTACCCGGCGGGGACGCTCCAGCAACCCATGCCGAACAGAAGTGTGCGCTCCAGCTCTCCAGCTTTGTCGAACGCGAGCGCTTCAGCAGCCCACGGCGAGCGATCCAGCATTGCATTGGTACCGAGCGCGACCCTTCCAGCAGCTCTGGCAGAAAGCAAGGGTGTGACGTCGCCGCCATGGTCGCCGTCGCCGCCGTCCAAGTCGCCGCGCTCGCCAGCGCCGTTGTCGGCGTGGACGTCGCCGCGCTCGCTCGCCGTCTCCGCTGTCGCCTTCGTCGGCGCCGTCGCAGTCGCCGCCGCCACCGCCATTGCCACCGTCGCTGTCGCCATCGTTGTCGTCGTCGCCGCCAGCTTCGCCGTCGGCGCCTTCGCTGGCGCCGTCGTCGATGTCGGCGTCGCCGCGGTCACCGTCACCACCATCGCTGTCACGGTCGTTGTCGCCGCTGACGTCGTCGTCACCGCCGCCTTCGCCGTCGCCGCCGCTGCGGTCTGGCCATCAATTCTCACATGTAGCATGTTCCACTGACTGGTTTCTCAGTGGCATATTGTAGCTGATGGAGATTGGAAGCGCGAGTGTTTGCATCGTGGTATACATGGGGCGATCTTCGCGCTTTGATCCTCGCCAGCGGCCGTTTGTTTATCGAGCGAGGACTCTCCAGCAACCCATGCCGAAAAGAGGGGTGCGCTCCAGCACTCCAGGTTATCGAGCGCGAGCATTTCAGCCGCCCACGGTGGGCGACCGAATGTTGGATTGGTACCGAGCGCAAGACTTCCAGTAGCTCGTGCAGAAAGTAAGGGCATGACGTCGCCGCCCCTGCCGTCGCCGCGCTCGGACCCCGGACGTCGCCGTCGCTGTTGTCGCCCTCGCCGGCTGCGTCGCAGTCGTCGCCGCCGCCACCGTCGCCCTTCGCCGTCGCCGCCGGCATCGTCGTCGGAGCCTTCGCTGGCTCCTTCGTCGTCACCGACGTCGCCACCGTTGCCGTCGTTGACGCCGACGTCGTCATCGTCGTCGCCGCCGCCCTCACCATCGCCGCCGCCACGGTCTCGCCACAGATTCTCACTCGCAGAAAACGCTTTGGTGCGAGCCCAACGGGGTCCCCCAATCGTTGAGCACGAGGCAGTGGCAGCGGCTTGCGCGCCTGGGTGTGGCCACCCCGCGCCCCGCACCAGAGTTCATTCTTGCCTAGGGCTACTCTTGCGTGTAGCCGAACTGGCGAGAGCGTTCCAGAAAGGGCCTCGCCGTCGTGGGTCGAAGGAGTTGTCATCTCTTTCGCGGCGGAGGGGCGGCAGAAGTGAAGCGAGGGCGGGTCCGCCAGCGGAAGATCGGCAGAAGGCGGCGGAAGTAGAAGACGCGCCCTCAAGAGATGCCACTGTTTGTTGGATTCATATGTTTCGGCCAGATGTGTTGGCGGGTGAGGCGCAGAACAAAACCCCGCATATGCCAGTCCGCTGATTCCCCCCTGGTCTTCGGATTCATGTTCGGCCCCCTGTCTAACGAGCAGCTCTGCTGCACATCGGCGCTGCAGACGAGACGGACCGACGAACATACGAACAGATGAAGACCACGAGCGCGCAGATGAGCGTGCTAATGCGAAGGCTCGCCTGTTGACGTACGATGGTGCACGCAATAGAGAAGCAGGTGGTGAGGACGAAGATGACGTGAGGGAGACGAGGAGGACGTGAGGACGTGAGGGAGGACGTGCCACCCGCCCCAACACCAGTTCGCACGGCGCTGTCCCACAGACACCCGCGAGCTCGCAGAGCGAGCGTTGCTTTCCGCGCGCAGCGTTTCTTGGCCAGGCAGATCTCGCGAAACAGTCTGCTCTCTGAGAGCTCCAATCGTAACGCCGAATAGCGCAACGAGTGACGATGCGGCGGCGACATGCGTCCGCATGTTAACGGACCAGGGCGGTTGCTTCAGCGATTCGGGCGCTTGGTGTGCCAACCCAGCTAAGTTCGAAACCCGGCAGCGGGATTGTGAAGGCCTTAAGACTGGTGCCGCCGACCCTGAAGACGACGGCGATGAGGACGAGGAGGAGGAGGAGGAGGAGGAGGAGGAGGAGGAGGAGGAGGAGGAGGAGGGGTAGGAGGAGGATGCGGAGGACGCGGTGGAGCAGCAGAAGGGGGAGGAGGAGGATGCTGAGGAAGATGAGGAGGGGGAGCAGAGGATGGGGAGGACGGGGGGGAAGGAGCAATAGGAGGACGAGGATAATTGAAGCCGGATGAGCAGGAAAAGAAGGACGCGGAGGAGAAGGGGCAGGAGGAGGAGGAGGATAATAATAATAATAATGATAAGAAAAGAAGAAGAAGAAGGAGAAGAAGAAGAAGAAGAAGAACGAGGTCGAGAGAAGGTTGCGGAGCACCGTGGGAAGAGCATGCGGGGGAGGAGCGGGAGCATGATAAGGAGGATGATCAGGAGGATGAGGATCATGCAGAGGAGGATGCGAAGGAGGAGGAGGATGAGGAGGGAAAGGGTGAGGAGGAGGAGGAGGAGGAGGAGGAGGAGGAGGAGGAGGAGGAGGAGGGGAGGGGGAGGAGCAGGAGGAACAGCAGGAGGAGCAGGTGGAGAAGGAGGAGGGGGAGTACGCGGAGGAGCAGGAGGCAGAGGATGAAGAAGAGCATGCAGAGGAGGATGAGGAGGGGGAGGTGGCGCAGAAGGAGGTCGAGAAGGGTAGGTGGAGGACGATGAAGACGAGGCGGAGGAACAGGAGTAGG